ATGTTGTGGTTATGGTACAAGGAGTGCCCTGACAGTCCCCCAAAAAGTAAGTAAGGCTAGTTTAGAACAGTGTGACTTCTCACCTATAGCCACCAAGCACCACTACCTGCCTCCACTACATCAGTCACAGAGCCGAAACCTCCTGCTTAGTAACTTCTATTAGATCTCTGGAGCTAAGCACTTTAATTAAAAAGTTATGGCAACTCTATATACAATTACATGTAGTCTGTGTATAACGGGCATGCTCTAGCGCAAAAAAAAAAAATCATGCCATGGCAATAATAGATATAATAGACCTCACACTTCACATGTGAGCATAGTGTTGATTTAATGGGAACTGGATGGACTGGTACCCAGTCTTGGATACAGAGCTCTCCCACTTGTCTGTCCCTTCTCCAGTGGCCACAAAACCATAATGTCTTCCAGGCAGGTATAAACCCCTCTACCTGTCCTCTTTCTTCCCTTGCCCTCTGCCTGTGCAGCCTTACAGTACTGCCTTTATAAAGACACTTGCAGGTCTCATGCCATGTTTTTTGCTGAACTGTGCGGACAGAAAACAGGTCTTAGAACTTTACTGAAATCCTCTCAAAAGAAATAGTAAGAGAGATAATTCAGTGGATGGTAAAGGAGACAGAAATTAGATGGATTAACTCACCTCACTAACGCATAATGTAATAAGATAGACCAGGGACACAGAGATTGCCTCCAATGACTTTAGGATTTTTATGATTTTCTCACATTGAGTACCTTGAGCATGATGTAGCACTTCTATTTTTGATAAGGTGGTTATGAGATTTTTTTATGGCGTTTTGAGATTGTAAGAGTAATTAATCAATAGGAGTGTCAGGGTACCTGTTGGTGATGTATCCAGGGAAGACATCCTCTCTGCTTAGGGGCTCCCTTCCCCTAGCATTTCGGCATATTTCGGCCGTTTTCGCGCCGGCCGCGCTAGCTCCTCCCCCTTTTATGACGCGACGGCTAGCGTCGACGTCATGACGTCGGCATTTGCATAAAGTGCCGGGAACCGCTATTCCGGACCTTTTGGGGGCGTGGTCTCTATTTAGGTACAGGGTATTTAAAGGAAACCTTTACTACTGCTCATTGCCCTGTCGTGGTTCTAGCTTGCTAGTCACTCAGCGCGTTCTTTATCTAGTGTTTCCGGTTTTGACCCTTGCTTGTCTTTTGTCCTGTTGTCCTCTCCTCTCCTTTGACTCGGCTTGTATCTCGCTTACCTGTCCTCCGGCTCCCTTGTCCTCGGCTTACCTTTTGACTATTCTTGCTTTGTCCTTACGTTAGTCCGGCCATTCTAAGGTCCGGTATACGTACCTCCTTCTGTGCGCACTCTGCGTATTGGATCCCTGTCAGTTTCCTGACATTACGACAGGGCCATGATGGATCCTGCAGGTGCTAGTCCTCCTGACCCCAGATTTGAGGCCATGGACCATAGAATGGACCAAATGGCTTTAGCGTTACAAACTTTGTTGACACGCTCCAGTACCCAGTCTGAAGAAATACGTTCCACTGCTAGCCACTCGCTAAGTACTGGTTTGGAAGTAGCCACTGTAGGCGCATCTTCCCATGTCACGTCACCATTACGATATGGGGGTTCGCCTGATGCTTGTCGTGGTTTTTTAAACCAGATAAGTATACATTTCGAACTACAACCCCGGGCTTACCCCACTGACAGGGCTAAGGTAGGCTTTATTATAACCCTGCTAATAGATAAAGCACTTAGATGGGCCAATCCCCTTTGGGAGAATGACAATCCTTTAGTCTACAACTACACTGCGTTTGTCACGGCTTTTAGAAGAACCTTTGACCCCCCAGGGAGGAAGATTAATGCGGCCAGATCCCTGTTACGCCTTAAACAACAAGATAGGACCCTTGTAGAATATGCTCTAGAGTTTAGATCATTGGCAGCAGAAGTGAAATGGAACGAACAAGCTTTTATGGATGTTTTCTTGAATGGGTTGTCTGATGAAATTCTAGATGAAATTGCCACTAGAGAACTTCCGGAAAATTTAGAGGATTTAGTATCCTTCATTTCCAGAATAGATGAACGCATGAGACAGAGGCAGAACACTCGGGAAAGAGTTACTAGACTTCCTGTAAGACTCGCTCCCTCATTTCAGAACCCTGACTCCTATAATCCTACTCCACCAGAACCTATGCAAATAGGTAATACTCGCTTATCTGAGGCTGAGAGACAGTACAGAAGAAGGGAGGGTCTCTGTTTATACTGCGGGCTGAGAGGTCACCTACGTCTCAGTTGCCCTAATCGTCCGGGAAACGCTCGCACCTAAGTTCCCTTAGAGGACGGGCCTTGGGTGTTTCATTACTGTCCTCTATGCATAATAAAAAAGACCATAGGCTTCTGATTCCTGTCTCTCTAGCTTGGGAAAAGGGGTTTATTACTACGATGGCATTATTAGATTCTGGAGCAGCAGAAAGCTTTATAGACCAAACTTTCGCTAATATGCATTGTATCCCATTCCAATTGAGAGATACACCCTTGGCCGTTGAGGCCATAGATGGTAGACCTTTATCTGAACCAATAATATTCCATGAGACCGAACCCGTTAAGCTTACTGTTGGTATTTTCCACGAAGAGTTGATTTCCCTTCTGTTAATTTCCTCCCCGGCAGTCCCAGTGGTTCTAGGATATTCTTGGCTCAAGAGACACAACCCTCAGATTGACTGGGAGGGTGGAGAAATCGTTTCTTGGGGTATGGGTTGTAGGAAAGAATGTCTGCAGAGAGTTACTTCTGTTTGCCCCGTGAACTCTTATGCTAACACTTCTCAATCCACTGACGTTCAGATACCATTACAATATCTAGACCTCAAATCTGTATTTGACAAGGGTAAGGCGGATACTTTACCTCCCCACCGGTCTTATGACTGTTCTATTAAACTTTTCCCTGGTACTATGCCTCCCAGGGGTACGGTATACCCTCTATCCACCAAGAAAACTTGGTTTTAGAGGAATATATCAAGGAGAATTTAGACAAGGGATTTATTAGAAAGTCTTCTTCTCCGGCGGGGGCGGGTTTCTTTTTTGTAGAAAAGAAAGACGGTACCTTACGTCCTTGTATAGACTATCGGGGATTGAACAAAATTACTATCAGAAATGCTTACCCTATTCCTTTAATTACTGAACTCTTTGACAGACTAAAGGGGTCGAGTATTTTTACTAAACTTGACTTAAGAGGAGCATATAACTTAGTGCGAATTAAACAAGGAGATGAATGGATGACAGCATTTAATACCCGTTACGGGCATTATGAGTATACCGTAATGCCGTTTGGGCTTTGTAACGCCCCGGCCGTCTTCCAAGACTTGATCAATGAAGTTCTTAGAGAATTCCAACATGAATGTGTAATTGTATATTTGGATGATATACTAATCCATTCTAGAGACGTTAATTCACATCATAGACAAGTCAGAAAGGTATTACAGAAACTTTTACAACATGGATTGTATTGCAAATTGGAAAAATGTAGCTTTGACCAGTCTCAGGTAACTTTCTTAGGTTACGTAATTTCCAAAGACGGGTTTATGATGGACCCGACCAAACTAAAATCGATTTTAGATTGGCCCTTACCTAAGGGACTCAAAGCCATACAAAGATTTCTCGGATTTTCTAATTATTACAGACGTTTTATTAAAGGGTACTCCTCTGTTATCGCTCCTATCACTAATATGACCAAACAAGGAGCCGATACCAAAACCTGGTCTACTGAGGCTTTATCTGCTTTTGAAACGCTCAAACAGTCTTTTGCCTCAGCACCTGTATTAGTTCATCCTGATACCTCTCTACCCTTTTTACTTGAAGTTGATGCGTCTGAAACAGGGATAGGCGCAGTGTTATCCCAAAGACAAAGTTTAGATAAGCCGCTGCACCCTTGCGGTTTTTTTTCCAAGAAACTGTCACACACTGAAAGGAGATATGACATTGGTGATAGAGAACTTTTAGCTATCATTATGGCATTAAAGGAATGGAGACATTTGTTAGAGGGCACCGTCCTCCCAGTTACTATCTTGACTGACCACAAAAATTTATCGTATATGGGGGAGGCCAAAAGATTATCTGCCAGGCAGGCACGTTGGTCTATGTTCCTTACACACTTTAATTATGTGCTTACTTACAGGCCTGGTTCTAAGAACACTAAGGCAGACGCTTTGTCACGTCAGCACGAACCTACCACCTCTACAGAGGATACTTTGTTCCCTATTATTCCTGAAGTCAATATTATCGCCAACACCAATGTCAAAATACACTCTCCATTGCTCGCTGATATTCAGAACGAACAATCTCTTGCTCCCGAACGTACTCCTGTGGGCCGCTTGTTCGTGTCTCCCAAATTCCAAGTGGACATTATTCGCTGTTTCCACGATAGCAAGATCGCTGGTCACCCTGGCATCCACAAAACGTACTGCCTGATCTCAAAAGACTTCTGGTGGCCCGGTTTACGTAGGGATGTGGAAGACTTTGTCAAGGCTTGCAATGTTTGTGTCAGGAATAAACTTCCGCGGGATCTCCCTTGTGGTTTATTGCAGCCCTTAGTCGTTCCCAACAAACCTTGGGCTTGCTTGGCTATGGATTTTATTGTTGATCTACCGGCTTCCAATAGGCATACAGTTATACTCACGGTCCTTGACAGGTTTACTAAAATGGCTCATTTCGTTCCCTTGCCTAAACTTCCGTCCTCCCCCGAACTGGCCGTGATATTTGCTAGAGAAATTTTCCGTTTACATGGTATTCCCAATGAGATTGTGTCAGACAGGGGTTCCCAATTTATTTCCCGTTTTTGGAGATCCTTCTGTTCACAGTTGGGCATCAAACTGAATTTTTCTTCGGCCTATCATCCTCAATCTAACGGAGCAGCCGAACGCACTAACCAAAAAATTGAGCAATATCTACGTTGTTTTGTTTCTGAACACCAGGATGACTGGGTCGGTCTGATTCCTTGGGCGGAGTTTGCTCACAACAACCTTGTTTGTGGTTCCACTCGTAATAGCCCCTTTTTCTTGAACTATGGCTTTAACCCTACTGTTCTTCCGTCGGTGTCTCCTTCCCAGGGTATACCGTCGGTTGATATTCATATAGCCAACCTGAGAAAGTTGTGGGATCAGACTCGACAAATTCTTGAACGTAGTTCCGCGGTGTTTAAGTCACATGCTGATAGGCGTAGACGTCCTGCTCCTATTTTTTCTCCGGGGGATAGGGTCTGGTTGTGTACCAGACACATTCGCCTGAAAGTTCCTTCCTTGAAGTTTGCTCCTCGTTACATTGGTCCTTACAGGGTACTGAGGAGGATCAACCCGGTTTCTTATTTGCTGGATCTACCTCCTACTCTACGCATCCCTAACTCTTTTCATGTGTCGTTATTGAAACCTCTTGTTTGTAACAGATTTTCCTCCCGCTCTACTCCTCCATCCTCGGTCCGTGTGGATGGTCAGGAGGAATATATCATCAAGTCCATCCTTGATTCTCGTATTTCTAGGGGGAAGCTGCAATACCTCATAGACTGGAAAGGTTATGGTCCAGAAGAGAGGTCTTGGGTTCCTGGTATAGACGTGCATGCTCCTCGTCTTCTACGGGCCTTCCACGTTCGTTTTCCTTCTAAGCCAGGTCCCATCCGCCCGGTGGGCGTTTCTAGAAGGGGGGGTACTGTCAGGGTACCTGTTGGTGATGTATCCAGGGAAGACATCCTCTCTGCTTAGGGGCTCCCTTCCCCTAGCATTTCGGCATATTCCGGCCGTTTTCGCGCCGGCCGCGCTAGCTCCTCCCCCTTTTATGACGCGACGGCTAGCGTCGACGTCATGACGTCGGCATTTGCATAAAGTGCCGGGAACCGCTATTCCGGACCTTTTGGGGGCGTGGTCTCTATTTAGGTACAGGGTATTTAAAGGAGACCTTTACTACTGCTCATTGCCCTGTCGTGGTTCTAGCTTGCTAGTCACTCAGCGCGTTCTTTATCTAGTGTTTCCGGTTTTGACCCTTGCTTGTCTTTTGTCCTGTTGTCCTCTCCTCTCCTTTGACTCGGCTTGTATCTCGCTTACCTGTCCTCCGGCTCCCTTGTCCTCGGCTTACCTTTTGACTATTCTTGCTTTGTCCTTACGTTAGTCCGGCCATTCTAAGGTCCGGTATACGTACCTCCCTCTGTGCGCACTCTGCGTATTGGATCCCTGTCAGTTTCCTGACAAGGAGGTAGTAGGCATATGTATTCATTTATCTGTTTTACTTACACAAAATATATATGTAAATAATTATTCTGAATAAATGAATTTCCTGACATGAGAAGTTAACATTTCATGTTGAATTGAAACAATTATGTTTATCAAGATGAATACGTTGTAGGAATGAGTGTCTGCTAGAATGGTTTTGTGCTAAACACAGCAGTTTAAAAAATACAAACCGAAAAGATTAAATTTCTTCTTGGTGGAAGTTGAGCAATGGCATTCGAAAGAAAGTAGTGATATCATCATTACTGAAAAGCCTTAACTGTAAACACAAACTACGCCCAAGTATTTCTCAACATTTTCCCAAATGACACTGGCCGTTATTCACCAGATAAACAGATGTTGGGGGTTGAAAACTGACAAGCAATATGTATGTCAAAGTGCAACGTAGCTAACCAGAGTTTTTTTTTTTTCTCCTGTTTACTATATTGGTCTATAAGTTGTGCGAGTCTGTTCTAAATTCCCCACAATTCACAAATGACTGAAAAAAAACCTACTGAGTTTTCATTTTTCGGTCGAACATGTCTCTAATAATAAATCATTTTTCAACCTGGTTCATAAAAATATATTTGGATTGGAGAATAAGCATATTAGATATTTTAAGGGCAATCAGATATTTATTAAATTGAACCTGTCATAATTGTTTTTTTTATTATTTGAGATTGAAATATTACATGTAATATAGCCTCTATGTGTATTATGGGAATACACATGTAAGTGAATGCCAATTTTAGTGCAACTTTGGGGGCAGCCATCTTTAAACTCTCTTTTGTTAGGAACACCATGATTACGCACAAAATGAACATCTAAACATAGCCCAGAATACAGTTATAAAATGACGGTAAATGCGCATGATGTCAGGATTTGTGACCATGCACTACCTCTTGATTACCCACCATGAGATGCACTCAAATATGGGATTTACTTTTATTATTATTATAAATATTATTATAAGCATTTATTTAGCGCATTAATATTGTGCATAACATTTTACACAACACTTTACAATTAAACATTGGAAATATTTAACACTAAGGAATTGGCATAAAAAGCTTGCAAATCTATGTATCCATTATAAATAATAACACACAAAGGCAATAATAGGCAATATAAAGCTATTATGTTAAGTAATTATAATACCATTTTAATAATAAAAAATTATGACCCTTTTCTTTGAAGGGGCATGTCAATGCCTAAATTCAAAATATAAAAAAAATCACTGTTTAGCAGCTAAACCCTCAATGAAAACATGCATACATTTATGTTTTGTTTTTTAACTATACAAATGTTTTTTGCATTTTGTTTGATTATTTTTAACCCGTTAAGGACACATGACGGAAACATTCCGTCATGATTTCATTTTATTTCTGAAACTGTGTCCTTAAGGGGTTAAAAACAGCTTGCAAAAGTTGTATATCTCTTGTCTGCAGCCTTTACAAGCCCTTCATTTCTAACCCTGCCCATACTGCATATGGCTGTCCAATCACAGTCATTGCAAGCAGGGCCGGACTGGCCCACCGGGATACCGGGAAATTTCCCGGTGGGCCGTCGGCACCTGGGGCCGGCCCTTTAAATACTGCAGCCGCCTGAGCGCTCTGTGAAGAGCGGTCAGGCGGCTGCAGCTTCTCCCCTGTAGCGTGGCCGAGCTGCACTCCGGTCCGCGGTGGCCGGCCGGCCGGAGTGATAGGAAGGTGCACGCTCAGTGTGCACTTCCTGTCAGTCCGGCTGGTTACAGGAAACAGAAACTCAGCGCGGAACAGGAGTTTCTGTTTCCTGTAACCGGCCGGACTGACAGGAAGTGCACACTCAGTGTGTAGTGCACCTTCCTATCA